ATTCCGGGTGGTTCGCCTGCTATTGGCCGCCGAGCTCGGTGAATTTCTTCTGCCAGACTGGAACTCACTTCCAGATGATACTCCGTGAGGTTTTCTCGCCTTCCATTTGCAGTCTTAGTCCTCGCCGGGGTTGTTGTAGTCATTCTGCAGCAACAGAATAGGTTAGGCTGTGCCGGGTAAATTGCTGGGTGGCGAATCGTACACAAGACTGCCTACTTATTTAGAATATTGCCGGCATACATCTGCATAAATTCCGTGCAGGCTGTACCACATTCTTGGCCCGCAGCAAGTTCCTCCCGGCTCCTATTTGGATTTTATGCATGACACTCTCTTCATTACCTTCCTTGGTGTACGTATACACAACAGCAGTAAACTCAAAAATACTGCTTGTGGGTGTGGGTGGAATAAAAACATGGGATTTAATTCTAAGGCCCTTCGCCTGCTCCCTCAATTGGGAATTCCGGGTTCTTGGACGCCAGGATCTTTGCCGTTGAAGTAATGCGCTTTTTACGAGCTCTTTGCTCACATTTATTGTATCGATTCCCCGCTGTGATGTCGTTAAATTTTTAATGCCTATACATGGAAATATTCCGATGCAAAGGGAGTTTAAGTTTTTTTTATAGCCGAATACTCAAAAATGATTACAGATTTTTATTTGCGGGTTTGAAAGGAGTATTTTGATTTGGAATTTTAAGAAGTTCAAATTTATAGATCGTTTTTTTTATTTTTTATTGCAGATTACTTCAGAATTTTTTCATAAAAATAAAAATTCAGTTTTTTGTTAATTATTTTAAGCATCAATTTTTTTTTACCCAATTTTATTTATTAAATTTATTAAAACTTAAGAAATTAGATTTATAATTTTTTGATACTCAGCTATAAAATTTTGGTTTTAAAAGTTACTTAAAAAATTTATAAAAATGATCATACTGTCAATTTTTACGTACTTAATTTTTAATGCAGATAACTTCAAAATTTTCTTATAAAAATTTTAATTTTTTTACAATTTGGAGATCAAAATTCAATTTTTTCAGTTTTTTATCAAAATTTTTGAAGAATCAATTTTTTTTCACTCAATTTTTTCAATAGATTAATTAAAAAATTACATTTATTATTTTTTGACAGTCTTATATGTAAAATTTTGTTTATAAAAATTTTTACAAATGATCATACATCTGTCAATTTTTAAATATTTAATTTTTGATCATTATAAAATTTCCAAAAATTGAAACTTTAGTTTAAAAATAATGTCTCAAATTGAAAAAAAAAAATTAATTGTAAATCTTACAATCTCTTTGCAATCAAGGGTCCCCAAAAAAAAATTCTCTTAAGCCATAAAAAAATAAAGAAACAAGATTAAAATAAAATTATTTGGGTTAATGGAAATAGTAATCAAAGTAGTAATAGTAGTGGGTAAAAGATATGAGAAAAATCGCAAACTAAAGCTCGAGATTTGTTGGATATTGCTTCCGAGTCAAATACATATTCAAATTGAATTTGTACGCGCTACCAGACACGTTGATTTGAAATCATTCAGCGGCTCAGGGCAAAACTCTGCTTCCGCTTATGATTTTCGAACCGTCTTCTCTACATATCTAGTTCCCTATTCATATACATATAGATATAGATGGAGATATAATAAACAGGATCTATCTCACTCATAGATTTCATTCGTATATAAACCGACTAATGGAAATTCTAAGCGAGAAGTTGGTCAAACACAATCACTTTGCATAGCGCATGCACATATATATTCTGGTTTACTATTGTACATAGTCTAGTCATCGATTATTTGCTTAATCATTAATTCAAATCCTTATTGTTAGCTAGCGGTATTGATATTAAATCCTTTATTGCGGTAATTGTTATTATCGAATTGTTCGGCATTAGCGCGGTCAAAAAAGTAAATGAACTGTAATTAAGTTAAATTAAATATAACTCAACATGAAATAGGATGACTGTGACATATATGAAATTTATATCACGGTTGATGAATGTTAAGTATAATTAGTACGAATTTGAGGTTCACAGGTTTCATTAATGCCGATCATTTCAATTATACGCGATAATTAAATCCATTGATATCATTCCAATAAAACGAAATTAAATTAAATATAAATGGCTGTTCAAGTTCCGTGCCGCGGTATTGTGTACAAATAATCATGTTAATCAATTTTACCCAATGCATATTTTACTAATTTATTATCTTTGTGCTTTTAATTACCTGACCCATACGCTCCATATCTATTTGTTGCCTTGTTTTATTTAATATTAATAGTTTATTATTTGTTTCATTTCAATAAATTCATTTATTTTCCAGTGTGTTGTGTTTTTCACTTTTAATACTTAATATTTATATTATAATTCAATTTCTGCTTCATATTTTTGAAAATTTAAACATTTATGACCTATTAAGAGTCATTTTTTCATAATTATAATAATTTTATTATATCAATTCTTCATTATATATTTATAGAACAATTAATCTCTCATCAGATAATTTTTAACAACAATTAAATGTTTTTTTCCATAAAAAATGACATTGAAGCTCAGAATTTATGTTTAAAATTTTATAATAAAATTTTAATTCATCCAATTATTAAAATTCAAAACTAAAAATTATATTTTACAAAATTTACACCGCATCAATAATTAATTTCCAATTATAGTAATAAATTAACTATATTAATGACTTATTACATCATTTTTAGTAATTTTTTTCCACAAAAAAGGACATTAAAGCTCAAAATTCATGCTTAATATTTAATAAAAAAAATTTTAATTTCATCCAAAAAAAATTCTATTTCAATAAAGATAAATCTCCATCACAAAACCCACCCACCGCTCTCAAAACTCTACACCCCCTTAAAAAAAATTAATTGTCAATTAATATAATCACAAAAAACAACCAAACCTCTCAAATTCATCAAATTTCGATTGTGTAAATAAAAACAGTAATTATTTATTATTTACCGATGTTTATTTACTAAAATAATTGAAAATGAATAAATCGAGAGCTTATCCGTGAGTATTTATAATAAAAATAATAACTCGTACACAGCAGGGAGTCGGGGACTTACTTGCCGATGCAGAACAAGAATAACTCGTCAATATCCTCGTCTGTAGGTGTGTATGAAATGTACAACGCGAAAACCGATTTAAATTAAATTAATATTTGCTATACGTGCGCTATATGCCGGACCGGCGTGTATTTAGCCCGGCGTACGCGGGATAACGAGTGAGCGGGCCGAGGGGGTGCTGCAAAAAGGACCGGAGGAGGTGAGCTGGGATTTTGATTCGTTTCCGTTGTCGCTCGGGTCAACCAAATTCTGCTCCAGCATACGTGGATTCTCGAGAGTTTAAATGCGAATAAGGTTCGTGCAATTATTTATGATGAACCTCGCTCACACATGCGCTCCACACGTCCAAGTGTGTGTCTGTGGATCGGAGCAACAGCAGAAAATAGAGGATGAGCCACTCTACCAGTCATTTGCTGACACGAGAGCATCATACGCGTCCCAACGTTTACAATCAATGATGCAGCACATGTGGAGTCTGCATAACGGTCTATTTTCTCCCTCCCCCCTCCCCACCCTTCAGGCTTCTGTCTCACTTAAAACCTTTCCCGTTTGACATTTAGCGTCGCTGTTAAAATAATTCCCGGTCGCTCTTACTCCAGCCGCGTTCCTGGTCCCTGTTCTCCCTTCGAATGGCTTTCACGTACACAGTATCGATTACCAGAGACCGCGAGTTCTGATTAAAATCGAACGAGTTCACCCCTGTTCCAGACACCACACATAACAATACGACTCAATAACCTCATGCGATTCTCACTCAATTGTTAATTTTTATTTTTACTCCCATTTTTATTTCTATTCCACTCTCTCTATTTTTTATTTTATTTTATTTTATTTTATTTATTTACTCCGGTGACTCTGTTGACAAAAATCGAATTTTAAAATCCAATATGGGTTTTTAAAATTATTTTACTCGAAAAATTTCATATCAACTGTTCACTGGATTGAAATGGACAAAAATTACCAACAGTTTAACGGTTTTGGGTTTAGTTTAAGGTTTTAGCTTTTTATTTTAATTGTCGTTGCACAGAGATGAATTCCAAAAACATCACGGACATTACCTCTTCATAGATCTAATAGGTTACAACGTAATAAACCCGTGTAATAGCCCGTCCACATGTCCGTCGTCATCTCTCGCATTAACAATCTCGCAATCTAATTCCGAGGATTTAATCTCCGTGTTGATAAGCGTATCTAAGGCTAGCAAATGTTGCTTACGAGAGGGGATAGAAAATAGAGGACAGAGGATCCCTTTCAGCTTTTGTGGACTAAGCGTGTATACAGAAGAGAAGTACAAAGGTTTAAACAAAAGCTTACTTAACATTACCAGCCGTGTCTTTTGGCTTTCATCCAGCTTACTTTCACCTCACATCTCACAACTCACATCTCATTTGTGCTCCGCATTCCTAATTATGTCCTTCAACCGCATTTATCTTTTATGTAATTAATTTTATCCTTTTTAACAACAAATTTGTTAAATTAAGTTAGAGAAAAATTATTTTATTTTTATCAAATTAATTTTTAAAGCCCAAATTTTGGAGAAAAAATTACAGGATATTTTTTTTTTAGGAAATTTAATTCTCTAGAAAAAAAACTCCTGATTATTTTTGCAATATATCCCTTTTTTAAAGCAGTATGATGACTATAAACTACAGAGAATGAAAATCAATAACCACAAAGTTATCGATAAAATAAACTATTGCAGTTCAAACTGAATTGGTAGTCAATAGTGTCTCTTTAAACCTACAAATTATCCTACCGACTAATTCTGCGGACGTACCAGATGTTCCCGATGTCCTGCAGAACGCTCTGTAAATAAACATCACTCTATTATTATTTTTTCAATAGCATAAGCTCATTTTCCGGACGATACAAACTAACAGGACAATCAATGAAAAAAGTATTAATTTTTGGAATTATTTTATGTTCACAGGCCCGCCGAAGATCCTGATGAGACCGCGGTCCCAGCACGTAAAGGCAGGAGGGATCGCCAGTTTCTACTGCAGCGCCCATGGACAGCCCCCACCACAAATCCACTGGCGCAAGAACGGGAAAAAAGTTTCCTGTGAGTTTCCTATTCCACGTAGCTCTTCAACTGATCTTATTGTCTCCTTACTTTTCTTCTACATTCTAACTCTGTTTTTCTTTCTTGCCCTCTTCCATCTTCATTCTCGGTGTTCTTACTCCCCCTTGCCCATCAGCTCTAAAAACTCGAGCCAGACTCACTTCCGACTAAAGATTTAACGGGCAAAAGAGAATCAGGAAGGATCTACGCTACGCTGATTTCCTCATCCCAAGCTTTAAAATACTTTTAGCCTCTTTTCTTCAAAACTTTACATCTGCAAACTCAATCTCTCTCTCTCTCTCTCTCTAGCTATCTCATTTGTTTAACTTTCACCCAATAGAATTATTAATTTTACATAGCAATCGTACTTTTTAAAACAATTATTAAATTATTACTCCCCTTGATTTAAAAATTTTTCATTTACATTTATTGATATTAATTCAATTAATTATACACATATAACACTTACGATTTCTTCATTTTTCACATTTTTTGAGACATATTTTTAGGAAAAATTTTCTCCGGTATCTTTTATTTATTATTACTAGCAACTTTTCAGTCACTATGTGACTGCCAAGACTTGTGAACTATAAATGAATAAAATTTTGCTTTATTAAATAATGATTTTTGTTGAATTGCTGTGTACTTTCCTAGCTATTGACGATTTTGAAGATATAAACTCATTCCGATGTTACACTCATTAAAAGCTTTCATTTGAGTACCCACATGCATTTTGATATATTTTTCATATATACATATATATAATATATATAAATATATGAAAAATTGATGTGGGTACTTAAATGAAAGGTCTTGATGAGTATAACATCGGAATGAGCTTATATCTTTAAAAATGTCAATAGTTCTCAAGATACAAAGTCATTTCTTACTTATGTATCTAACGATAAAGCATTTTCGAATCCAGCCTAAATACTTATCATCATAAATTGACTATTGGTGAGAATGATATAAAACCGTGAAAAGGCACAACTCCAGGTCACGACCTATCCAACGATACCAAATTTAACCCCAAAAACCCATTTTATCATATAAATATTCTCTTAATAATGTAGATGATTTCTTAATTTTTGAGACATATTCTTTGGAAAAATTTTCTGCTATGAATTAAAAAAATTTTTCTCAGCATCTTTTATTTATTTGTATCCTTAATATTATTATTATGCTTCATATATAATTTTATAAATAATTTTTCAGCTACGGCGTCGCGCTACAGTACCAAATCCTACGCAAATGGCGCGCTCCTGAGGATCGACCCAGTAAGAGCGAATCGCGATGAAGCAATGTGGGAATGTGTTGCCGAAAATGGAGTCGGTGATGCTGTAACAGCAGAAGCCCAGCTGACCGTCCACGAACGTAAGTCTCTTTAAATTTCAATTTTCCGGTCTTCTACTTGAGTTTCAAGTCTTTCTGCAGCATAATAAATCCATTTTCAAATTCTCTGGCTAAAAAGAAAGGGCTTAGAACTCCCGACACTAAGCCAAAAGCCGGCCCGAATTCAGCAGAAGATGCCTGCAAGATGAATCACTTAATCGCGCAATCCTTCAAAGTTTAAGTGAAATTAAAACGGGCTCACGGTTAATTTTGTCCATTACTTTGTTCAAATATATTAGAATAGTCTAGTGAAATATATATACAGATAAAATTGAATGTATTATAGTATTCTTTGGACGAAATAGGTCTCACTTGTTCACAAGGTTCCTCGACAATCTTGTCCTCTTGCTCGCTCACCTCATTTTAACGGTAGAACGAGCAGCTTAATGGCGCCCAGTTGAACGTCCAAACGGAACTGGTAGCTACAGCTCTAGCCTGGCTTAATGGGAAAGAAGTACTGGCATTCCGTTGTAGAAAAGCTTCTCTTACTACTTCTGCTTCCACTGGTAGTACTCCAGCCATTCCCATTCTACGATGAGATCGCGTGAAATTTTGCGGACCGGCTTAATTGGTTTCTCTCACTTTTAATTTAATTTAAGACGCAGAGGCTCACTTTCTTACTCTCTTTTGCTCCTTAACTTTCCGCCAAAACTCGAAAAAAAAGAAAAGAAAAAAAAACGAAGACTAAAACTCGAGGAAGATGAATAAGAAAAAGTATTACAGTTTAAGAAAAGGTGCAGCGAGCACTTTTTTATCATTCTCAATCCCACCATCTTTCCATCCCGTCATAAGATTAAGCAACTTGACTTATGAAATATTCTTAAACTTTCTTCTTATTGTTAATTGTTTTTATTGTTAATTTGGATAAAATTTAATAAATTGTTCGAAAAAGTTCAAGTGGATTTTTAAATTCAAACTTTCTTAAAAGTTTTTTTTTAAAGATCATTCATTTTCAATTATAATTTTATTAATTAAAATTTTTTTAACGATATCCTTGTAAAAAATAAACTCGAAAAAGAAGATGAATAACCAACTAAGAGACCGTAATTTCAAGAAAATGAACATTAAGTAAGCACTTTGCCATAATTCTCAATTCTCCGCTTACTTATTGTTAATTATTTTTTGTTGTGAATTCACTATCACAGCGCTCAGTTCCGGATTTTATGACGGTACACGTGCTCAAGTATCATTTTCACATTCATTTTAATAGACACTTTTATCACCGGTGTTTTATTATATTTGCTATCTGTCTTTTATTGTCATTAAAAGCGCGGACAGGTGCTCGCTCAGTTGTTAATGTTTAAATTTTTCATGCACACGTACCCTCAAAATTTTATTCATCGTTCATTAAAATAATATTGACGTCCTATTAATCGGCATTTTATGCCCATTATTAAAAAAAAATGACAATATAAATATATGGACAGTATAAAGTATAAGGTTTAAGATTGAGCGCCAGAAAGTAAAATTATTGCGCAGTTAAACTATCAGGTCATACTAATAAACACAATTGATAACAAATGATATAAATTGATTCTTCATACTTTACGTCATAATCGATACGCTCATATCGTACATTCGTGTAATGATACCATTTTTTTTTTCGGGAACAAAGAAAGCTTCGCTTTCTTGGTGGCCTCAGTGGCGCTATTATATGGAAAACGAGAAACAGACGGAAAAAAGTAACGAAAACAAACGTAAAGGTTGAAATAAACGATGATGGCGCCCAACGACGTAGATAAAAGTTAAATGCTAACGTAAATATCGCACAACACAACTCGAAGCTCAAACTATACACATTTTAGAATTGTAGGTGTGTGTGGGTGTGCATATAAGAGAGCCTGGCCCAGAGTGTGCCATGAAAGAGTGAGGGGAAAGTTTGCCAAGGGGGGAAAAATAGCGGTGGCATGAACGCGAGAGTTACGAGAAAACTCTCGAGCATTTTCCGGCGGTCGTGAATATGAGTGGAAACAACAAAAATAGTCGACGACCATTACTGGTAACCACCCAAAGTGTCCTCAACGTGTGTGTATGTGTAAGTGTATGAGAGTGAGGGTGGGTGGGGTTCACCTGACGCGCGTTCAACGTGCCACTAAAAATCTGAAAACCATTACGTTACGTATACGTAATACGTGGAAAGTGCTACGTCGCCAGTATCATCTAGGAACAGCTTGAATTTTCCTCGTTCCTATCAACCGCTACAACATCTACAGCTAGAAAACTACAACAGCACCGCATCACCACTATCGCATTGTTTTTTCGTTTGCTTTCTAGAGGCTCTTTTTCACCGAACCACCAACGCACTGTTGTGGTCTTTTCACTCCACGTATGTATGGCTATCGCGATACATTTATCAAAGCAATTGTACTTGTTGGGGATTTCTAGACGATGCGGGCAAGGATTTTTCGACGGAGGATAAACTCACGAAGGAGCAAGAGACAATATATCGAGTGTCTTGTGAAAGCGGAGGAAACGTCTTCTCGGATATCGGAAGTTGCTTCTTGTCAAACTATTTTGTGTAACTCGATTGCTCAATTCGTCGTTATAGTCATCGCAGTCCTGCGGTTTGTTGTTTTCATTCTGGTGAAATCGATCTGTATACAATGGGTTACACTTCTAGCTACTTCTATTCCGTTGTTTCCATTAGAATTAACAATCACCCAAACTAACTCTATACAAACTACTTTTTTAAATAATGCCTATTGATGCTTTTACGAAAATTTACATAGTAAAAATTTTTTTATTAAACTTTTTCTTCTGTCAGATGTTTTTCTTCAAACTTTCTTTTGATTTCCTTTTCTAAAAAGTTTTTCTTTCAGTAAATAAATCTGGGACAAATTTTGTAAAATTCAGCATCAATGACATCCATAAGCAATCATTGCCTAGCTGTTAACTTGGTCTGATATGGAGACTATCAGATAATCATACACGAACAAATCAAATTTTTTTCATTAGAACGTATAAAGCCATATTAGAGAATGTTTCTATAAGTAATCCGTCAATAACAATTAAACTAATCCCTGTTAAATGATATTTATCATTAAATCATTTGAAAATGTCATCAAACATCCAAAACGTAAATTGAAACTCATGAATCAAAGCACAGGTTGTTCCGTTGTCGGAAATAGAGCCACCCACATGATCTTCCTCACCTCTCTCTCGGATTTGTGATTCCTCGGTTACTTACATACACAGCTGGAAGCTATTCACCGGGCTTGTATGCGCTGAAATCGAGGATTGCCGGGTTTTAATTAATCCAAGAGTACACCTCCCTTCAACGACATCTACTTCTAATTATCTGTCCGTTAATTGGGTGGAATATAATGTCCTATACAAAATGTACTACTAATTTCTTTCCCCCTTCAGATTCTCCTCCACGAGGCTCTTTAAATATTCAATCCAATTATCCGAACACTTTTTAATTATATATACTTACACTTAAAATACAAATAAATCCCATCTTCTATCTGCAATCCACGTGACTCTGCTGAATTGTTAATCGAATCAATGCACTGAATCTTCACCATTTCTCTCATTCATCAGCTCATTTAATTTTTATCCAAAATAATCCAACTGGATACATTTCCCGTGTTCGTAGAATAACCGATAATCATTTTTGGCTCAATCAAATTATGTAAGAACATTAGTTTAATATTTCATCGATTATAGGTACTTTTGCTTACATGGAACAGGTGACCTGGTTCTTTTAATGGTAATCCCGTGTAAGGCAAATTGACAACTTTTGGTGACAGCTAATCATCCCCGGGATTTCCATCTTCCATTTTCATCCATCATCATTGGATGAAAATTTAGCGCCCTATTATACGAGGCAGTGCATTGCAATTCATCTCGTCGGATCACGTTCTGCATTTGTATCAAAGACACTGGAAGACCATGTGACAAGTTGAAAGGTCTATGACATGAAAATACGAATGAACATTACTGAAGAAGTACTTCCTCTTCATGTCCTGTATTTCGCTTCCATGTTCCCTGTATACGAGGGACGTAATATATAAAAGTCGAAGTAAAAATACAAGGGATAAAGAATTAGGGGTGAAAAAAGACAGGCGTTTTCTTCAGAGAATGTGAATTGACACAACCGGCGGCGAATGGTACACGTATAACGTATAACATATAATGGATAAGTAAAGCCAACTTTTATTCAGCTTAAAAACTCTACTCTTTTGTTTCATATGGGGTGTTTTTCTTCACTCGAGTCTTATTTGAAAACGTAACCTTAAATTTCTACCAGCTCTGCGCTTTTACCCTCGTCATCTCCAAAGCTGACTCGGCTGTTTTTGAAAAAAAACCTAATTTTGATGTAAAAAAAATTTTTTTTCTTTCAATAAATTAATATTGAAAATTTTTTATTGGATTTTTTCTTTGTATCGACAAATAAAAAAGTAAAAGATTGAATCCCGGAGAACGTTTGAAATTTTTATTAGCACAAGCGAGAGAAATGAAAGATCGACGGGTGATCTTCGACGGAGTGAAATAGTTGATGAATTATCAAGTAGTTGTAAAGTTGTTGAGCGATTTAAAGTTTGTTTCTTAGCTCGGTACCAAGAAGAAAATGAACAAGTGAAGAAAATAGTCGGTGTATATGTGTATAAAAGTAGAGAGAAAGGTCCGATTAAGTGTTGATCCTGGATGAAAAAGTGATACCAGAAGTTTAAGGCGGAGTAGCCAGTGTCCTCGGCGAATTTTTAAGGAGCTTTGAGATTTCAAAGTTAAGGAAAAATAACCATCAAGAAGAGAATACCCGGGTGGTAAAACAAAAATCTAAAGTAAAAAAACGTAGACTAAGTCCGACGGGAAAAAGGTAAAGAAACTGGAGTTCTTTTGGGTGACGGGTGGACGTGGATGACTCTCGATGCCGTCAACTTTGCGGGATATTGGAAGGAGTACTGAGTAATAAATAGAGAGCCAAAAGAAATCTCCTCCGTAACTGTATACATAGGAAGTTGAAGTTGAAAAAAAGTTTACCGGGAAATTCAACGGAT